TGTGTGTGTGTGTGTGTGTGTGTGTGTGTGTGTGTGTGTGTGTGTGTTTGGTGGGGGCTTTGAGTCAATGTAAGGTATCATGAGGATGGGATGTGAGGGAGAAAAGAGTGAGAAGGGGTGCACGCAGAGGTGAAACTGTGTCAAGGTTGCAAGTCTGTTGCATAGGAAAATTCCCTGTTTCCTGAGACGTCTGGTGCTGTGTCGGAGTACACAGGGTGGGATATCATTATGTAGTATGATAGTATCTTCCTGTGGCATCATGCAGCATCAGTATTCAACCAAGGTGGCCCTACATATCTGATTGTGTGGAGCCTCTGACCTCTCCCATGCAGCTCTGTTTACTCACTAGTTTGAATTGCCCTTTCAAAAGTTGCAGACAAGCATAAAGTGAAGGGAAAACAATAGAATGAGCCTTTACAGAGTTTGCTGATACTGCATCTGAGACATCAGCTATAACCTAGGACCAGCAATGCTAATGATGCCATTAATATAATCCACAGATTTAATGGCACCAGTCTGGTGGCGGCATGCTGCATGTGCTTTCTTCAGTTTGTGTCCAGGGGAAAATTGCAATATACTAAAAAATACTTAAATAAATATATGTTTTTTTAAAATTATTTTTCCTTCCAAAATGTTTACAGCTTTACCACATATGCTCAGCGACGTGCGGCACACAGTCTTCTGAATAGGCTCAAACATACACACTCTTATGTCTGAACATGTGTGCAAACACACATTTTGACCTCTCATCATTGTATTATAATCCCTAAACAAACCATCATAAATGAGCCCTGCGATGCTTATTTGTTTGAACGAAGGCAACCCCCTCCTCCTTCGCCACTGGGGTGAGGTTGCCATAGTGACAGATTCACAGACATATGGAGAGAGAGGAGAAGGGGAGCCGAGTTGAAGGGGTGGGGCTACGGGGGCGAGGTGGAGGGGGGGTGACAGAGGAGAAGGGGATGGGTACCAGTTTGAGGACGTTGGCGCTCTGTCTTTCAGATGTGTCTTTGTGTTTCATCTGTCAATCAGCCATCCGTGTCAGTCTGTGCTCAGTGAGGGAACAGTTCATGAACTTTTCTCAATCAAGTCGCTGTCAGGCGCCATCTTGGCTATATTTCATCAGAGAAAGGATTGATTCTTGTGCCGGCTTCACGACCTAAAAAACACAGTATGTGCAGGGCGCCA